TGGATCACAAGAAACTGTGGAAAAGTGTTAAAGAGATGGAAATACCAGACCACCTTACCTGCCTCCCAAGAACTTGTATGCAGATCAAGGAACAATAGTTAGAATCACACATGGAACAACAAACTAGCTCAAAATTGGGAAAGGAGTGCATCAAGGCTGTATATTGTCACCCTGCTTATTTAACTTATATGCAGAGTACATCATGAGAGAAGTCCAGCTGGATGAATCACAAGCTAGAATCAAGATTGCCAGGAGAAATAGCAATAACCTCAGATATGTAGATGGCATCACCCTAATGGCAGAAAGTGAAGAGGAACAAATGAGTGTCTTGATGAATGTGAAAGAGGAGAGTGAAAAAGTTGCTGTAAAACTCAACATTCAAAAACAGAAAATCATAGAATCCAGTTCCATCACTTCATGGCAGATAAATGGGGAAACAGTGGAAACAGTGACAGACTATTTTCTTGGGCTCCAAAATCACTGCAGATGGTGACTGCAACCATGAAATTAAAAGACGCTCGCTCCTTAGAAGAAAAGCTATGACAAACCTAGACAGTATATTAAAAAGCAGAGACATCACTTTCTAACAAAGGCATCTAGCAAAGCTATGGTTTTTCCAGTATTCGTGTACAAATGTGACAGTTGGACCATAAAGAAGGCTGAGCGCCCAAAAATTGTTACTTTCGAAGTATAGTACTGGAGAAGACTCTTGAGAGTCCCTTGGACTGCAAGGAGAACAAACCAGTCAATCTTAAAGGAAATCAACTCTGAATATTCATTGGAAGAACTGAACCTGAAGCCCCAATACTTTGGCCACCTGACGCAAAGAGCTGACTCATTTGAAAAGACCCTGATCCTGGGAAAGACTAAGATCAGAAAGAGAAGTGGGTGACAGAGGATGAGATGGCTGAATGGATCATAGACGCAGTGGTCATGAGTTTGAGCAAACTCTTGGAGACAGTTGGACATGGAAGCCTGGTGTGCTGCAGTCCATGGGGTCACAAAGAGTCACACCCTACCGAGTGACTGAAAAGCAAAAAAAGAAAAGAAACCAGAACAGCAAACCAGTTAGGAAAAGTTGGATTGTTTGATAACTGGTGTTTGGACAAATGGATAACCTTCTGGAAAGTAATGGCAAAAGGATCCCTTACTTTACTTTTTGTATCAAAATCTTTTTATATGAATCTGAATCAAATTTTAAAAATTGTAAAATACTAGATAAATATGAGGTAATTTTTAAAAATAATATCACACAAATTGATCTATAAATCAAGACTAATTCAAAACTCAATAAGATTGTTCACGAAAGTTGATATCTAAAATCCTCACAAAATAGAATATGCTTAAGAAAGGCATGAAACCCTTCAAAGAAACAAGATAAACCAACTTGCTCTCAGTTCAGTTCAGTTGCTCAGTCATGTCTGACTCTGCGACCCAATGGACTGCAGCACGCCAAGCCTCCCTGTCCATCACCAGCTCCCAGAGTTTACTCAGTTTCATGTCCATTGAGTCAGTGATGCCATCCAACCATCTCATCCTCTGTTGTTCCCTTCTCCTCCCACCTTCAATCTTTCTCCAGCATCAGGGTCTTTTCAAAGGAGTCAGCTCTTCTCAAAAAGTACAATCCATGTCCTGTACAAAGTTTCCCCTTCTTTACAAATAAATTCTCATCCTGTGAGTACATTCTAAATCCTCTCTGATCTTCATTGAACCTTTTGAATAAAGTCAGCAGCAAATTCCCTAGCGTAATTTGCAGGGGTACATATATATATGAGACAAACCTTTTCCAAGTCCACGTTTTCTGTGCTGGCTCTGGTGTTTTAAGATTAATTGAAGTGTAACTGGTTTTTATCACTAGAAAGCATATATTAATTAAGTGTTAGCTTCACAGCATTTCAGGCAAGGTCTGAACATGTGTCCTATCGAATTTCATTGATACGAAGTGATAAACTCACTCACACTAAACTAGTCTTCCTTCTACAAAAACACATACTCTCCTGATTAAAAGGACAGCTTCTTCCAGGGCCTGCCTAGTGGTGGTATGTATTCCCCACAGTGCTTTGTTGACAAATGAGATAACATTTGACACTAACTAGCAATGAAATATGATTCCCAGGATTGAGGCGATGTGTTTGACCCTCTGTTTTGGTGATGCATATTACTGAAGGCGCCCTCAGGACATTTTACCTCAAAGTGAATTTTTGTTGCTGTTAAAGAGAGTGAGAAAGCATGGAGCAGATTTATGAGCCTTGCCTGTCTGGCTGGGATTGTAGCTGTTTTGACGTAATCTCCAGGAGATGCCTCAGGTATTGAATTAACTCAGCAGTCACATTGGACAGCCAAGCTTCATTCATTTTACCAGCCTCTGACAATGCTGAATTCAAGATGCCTTCACATCCAAAAGAATCCCTCTTATTGGCTGAAAGCTGGAATACATTCATTCATTCAACATTCATTGAGAACATAAGTCAGAAACCTTTGTAAGTGATGAAAGTGAAAGTGAAAGTCACTCAGTCGTGTCCAACTCTTTGCAACCCCATGGACTATACAGTTCATGGAATTCTCCAGGCCAGAATACTTGAGTGGGTAGACTTCCCCTTCTCCAGGGGACAGAGAAATAAGCCAATCAGGCAAAATTTACTGCCTTCAGGAGCTTACATCTTAATACAATATACAGTGTCACAATAATTATATATGTTTGATTAATACTTGTAGGATTCCAAATTAGGCTAGATCTCTGCAGACAAATTGTATGGAAGTGGAATCAGAACAAGCGGATGGTATCAGAGCCAGCAATTACCCAGCAATCTCTTCTTTTACAGGAACCTTCTTTAGTTACCTTATTGGGTGCATCATATTATAGGAGGTTAGTATAGAAACTGTGATTTTGATTACTCCACCAAGTAAAAAGTGAGAGATTTGAAACAGGTGACCAGTTTGATTGTCTGCTGAGCTGCAACATTATTTCATCTCATTCCTAGTGATACTTAATGGTCTACTACTTGGAAATTATGGTTTTAGGCTTAACATAGCTTAAGCCTAAGACTTTGATCAAATTTTAATCTCCAAATATTAACTTAGCTATTTCTTATCATTTATGCCATTTCATCTTATCCACAATGCCCTGTAGTAGCTGAATTTGGTATCCTCACTTTTTGGATAAGGAAATTGAAGTTCAAAAAGGTTAGATCAGGGACTTCCCTAGTGGTCCAATGGCTAGGAATCTCCCAACCAACACAGGCGACACAGGTTCAACTTTTGGTCCAAAAACTCAGATCCCAAATTCCACAGGGCAGCTAAGCCTCGTTCCACAACTGCCAAAAATCATGCACTCGGAGCCTGTGCTCCACGACCAGGAGAACCCGCCACAGGGAGCAGCCCTCGCACTGCAGCTAGAGAGTAGGCCTGTTCACTGCAGTCTGAGAAAGCCCTCGGGCAGCAGCAAAGACCCAGCACAGCAAAACTAAGTAAATAAATAAAGGTTATGTAAGGTGTAGAAGGTCACACTGCAGGAAGAAGATGAAATCAGAGCAGACACAGGGCTTCTGCTTCAGAGCTTGTATTCTGACCCACGCCAGCAGGTGTGATGATCTACATAATGCTTTCAGATGCTATGGGGAAAGCGAGGATGCATAGCCATGGCCCTTGCCTTCTAGTAGTTTATAAACTCGGTTACAAACAAAGCATCTGCACAAATAATTGCAAGGCAGGATTATGTATCATTTTTAACACAGAAAACACGTAAGTCTAGATAATAATAAAAAAAAGAAGGAAAAAGAAAAGAACCCAAATCTGTGAAGTTCATATTGCTCCACATTCATGAAAGATAGCTGGTGAGAGCATAGTCTGTGTGCCATAGACAGTGTTACAGGGGGAGAGCATCGCCCTGTGACCACCAGGGCTGAGACGGTAGCCTGTGGGCTACTGAAGCCACCAAAATGCCTTGTTGGTAGACAGAGTGTGTCTAGTTCTTTTCTCAGGGTGGAGTTTCACAAATATAACCCAATCTAAAAGCAGAAGCTCTGTCTCCCCGCTTTCCTGTGTTCTTCCAGAAAAACCCTGTAACCTCTTCTCTGCATAGAGAATCTTCCCCCAAGCACCTGGGCTGCCTGTGCCCCGTGGCTCTGGGGAAGTTTCTCTCCCCACTGAGATTCACAGCTGTCAGAAGCAGAGCACCAGAGCCAGACACCGCCCCTTGTGCAGGAGGGCACAGGTAAATATGTGCGGCGCTAACAGCCCCCCACAAATTGCCAGAGAGGCCAAGCAGCCTCTGGGCTCAGTGAGAAAAACTTCCATTTTGTTTCTCAACCGCATCCAGAGAATAGGGATTAATTTTATTTTGACCATCTCAAGAGAAGTTGTTGTTTTGTTTTGTTTTGTTTTTTAATCCCTTTCCATCTCATAAGGCATTATAAAGTAGCTTGGAGGGGAAGAGTGTCTTCTGAGGAGGAAATAATTCATAGGATTCTTTTCATTCATATTCCTATGAAATCCTCAGGGCCTCAGGGGCAAAGCTAACAATTGAGTTTTGTTCTGTAAGATCTGTTTTGGTCATGGAGTTATAAAAAGTCAGGTCCAAATATTTTCACTAACTTTTCATCTCTAAGGCGTCTGGGCTTCAGGCCAAATGCTAATGAATTGTGGAAGAGGAACTATACACCCTGAGATTGATAGGAATGATTTGGAACCCAGTAGAAGTTTGTCTCACCGAGACACTTGGGCCCAGTCCTCACATCACCTGAATTTCTTCCCTTTATCGGCTCTCAGACACACAGATCTATGCTGCCTTGTTGAGTCATAAGCATCCCCACCACCATGCACCATACCAGCCCATAGCACTTCATCAATGGATTGTACCAATAGCTCCTCACTCGGCCTCTGCATCATCAGTCATTGCTGGGTCCAACTGCTGCATGATTCCCCTTCTAATGCTTGAAACAGTCTTGAGGATGGAAAAGGGAAGAGTCCTGGGAGAAACTGATCTGTATTGCTTCCCTGTCTTAGCCCTCATCACCCTTCATCTCCACCGGTGTCGTGCAGAGCAGAGCTGCAAAGCTGGCACCATCCTCAAATCTGGTCCTGATGAGAAGAAGGCCTCTCAGCTTGCAGGTTTAATATAACTTTTCCCCATGCCCTCAGCCCACCAGATTAACTGGTGGAGACAAGCCAGGTGGGCCCCACATCACTCCTGTCCCTCTCTTTCCTCACCACTCTTCCCAGGTCAGAGCTTCCTTGGTCTCAGTGGAGGTGAACACAGGCCTAAGTTGTCTTTCAAATCCTGTCTTACGCCTATTATCTTGACCTTTTTTCTTAAACCTGAGAACTGTGGTTTCTTTATGGGATGGTTTGCTTTGGATAATTCCCTCCTGGGTAAAATGGCTTCAAAGAGGATAGTCATGGGAGACAGTAGAATGGATTGATAGAAGTCCTAATTTCCCCAAAATAATTGTTCTGCCTCATCCCAGTGTCTGGTCATTACATTCACCAACAATCCCAGAGGTGTGTGATGGGAGCTTTCCATGACAGTCTTGCAGGAAGGTAGCACTAGACAGGAAACTGAATAGTTTCCAAAACCAGCTCAGCCCTGGCCTTGGCTGTCCATGGCACCCCGCTGGACAGTGAGCTTGAGCAGTGGGACCATTTCAGTCCTGTCCTATCACACACCCCAACATCTAAAAGAAGCAATCAGGCTAGGAAATTCTATTGATTCAATTAATGGAAAACCTTCCTCCCTGGGGCACTGCTTCCCATAGTAAGGTTCCCATTAACTATATGAAATGAACTCTTTGGTACCCATGGAAACAATAAAGAAATCTGAGAAAATGTTTTCCTCTTGATGTGAAGAAATGGGTATTTCTAATATAAGACACTTTGGACCAGAATATGTCACTGCAAAAAAAGAATCTGATTTTACAAATAGGCATGAATATGTCAAGTCATTAATGTCAGCTTTCATGCAGCAAATTGCTTCTCATGCATCATTTATACTCATTTATAACTAAAGAAGAGTATTTGCAGAGACACACCATAAATATATTTTATATACCTCTCTCGAAGCTTTCATCTCCCGACTCTCAAAGTATCTGACAGAGGTGCAAAACCCTGGCAGATTCAATGGCAGAGCAGAGGAGGAGGGAACAAGAGGGTTAGAGGAAGCAAAGAAAGGCAGACAAAGATTGCTAACCAAGCAGAAGTTATAAAAATTCATGAGCTTGAGGCAGGCTTGGATTTATGCATTTAGACAATCCCTTTAAACTAAATGAAAGCTAATCTGTTGTAAATCTTCCCCCATATCAGTGATTCTGCAGAAATTCATTTACTGTAATTGAGAGTAAGAGGGAGTTGATCTGTGTGGATCCATGGTCACTGCGGAGATGAGAAGGCTGGTCTGCATTTGGAAGGACACGCACCCATGGAGGTACCTGTCACTATCTGTTCAGACCATGAGGTTGAAAAAGCAAGCAGGGCTGCCCCTGCCACCCCCGTGGTGCCAGCTTCCCCTGCTCTCTGTGGCTTTTCCATGTCTTCTTAGATCATCACCCAAGCCTTCAAAATCCCCAGGTAGAGGAGGCCGGCTACCCTGCCTCCAGCCTGAGCTGAGAGCTCAGCTGCTAAAGGCCTTTGCACCATCATCGCCCTGCGCGAGAGATGTGTCCCACGCCTCCCACGGTTGTTTCTTCTCACTCCCAGACCATCTTCGTCTGAGTCTGGAACTCAGGACAAGACTTTCAAATAAGTCCTTCAAATTGACATGAACCTCGTTCAACTCTGTGTAACCAGTGTATTAGGTGACATGTAGCCAGTGAAGCCCAGCATGTAAATATTGTATTTATTTTTTTCTAATTCCTGCTTTCAACCATGCCCTGTCAAACCCTCTTCCTGTCCTTTGATGAAACTGTGTGCAGACCTTGGGGGTCTCAGTTACTTTTGGTTATTGTAAGTTAACACAATTTAAGCTTTTCATCTTACATCAAATGATTAATGCTCCCTTCTCTTGAACTAAGCACTGGGACCCAGATACATAGAATGAGGCGGTGGGGGGAGTGTGGATGGTTGGCTGTTTTCTTGTTCCTCCTGTCGCTCTGCTAGAGGCTGAGACAGAGCGGTCAGAAGTCGCCCTGTGCCTCTGCTGGGAATGAGGACAAGTCAGGTGTGTCTCTGGCTCATCCTCTCCATCACTGCAGGCCTGTGCTCTGCAGAAGATGCTTAGGATGCCAAGCTCGGTCTTCTTGGGTCTATGTACATCTACATCCCAGTTCTTTTCTTTGCTGACAACTCCCTTTGGCCCCTGCCAGGGATCATCAGTACGTATCGATGTAGGACCTCCACAAACTTGGTAACTCCTGAGCAGCCCCAGGGATCCCGCCCTCCCATCTCCACGCTCCTTCATGTGTAGCTGACAGTGTCATCCCTCCTGCACATCCATCCCAAGCACATCACCCTGTTCCCATGCCTTTGCACACATACCTATTGCTTTTCAAAAGCTGTTCTCCCCCAGTTTAGAGGATTCTGACTTCCTATTACCTCAGGCTTAGCCTAACTGCCCTCCACACAAAGCACAAGATGCCTCTCTGAAAAGGATGGCAGTGTTCTTTCGCCCTCTCATCAGCATTCATGGGATCAGCTGTCCCCAGCATCCACTAAGCACCCTGTGGATACCTCCCGTGTAATTAGCTATTGTACTGTGTTTGTTAGATTGTCCACCTTCCCAAATAACTGTGTCTTTCTTCCCTCATAGCAGGTTGGGGGGCATGAAGTCATGTTTAAATAATCATGTTAAAATACATCTGTGCATCTAGAATAGTTCTGCACATCCAGGCACTCATTGTTTATTTGTTGAATAGATAAACAAATGAATGACTGTGAAAAATATTGATGAAATTGCCTGGATTCCACTTGCATTCAACAGTCTGGTCAGATAATGTGGGGAATAACATTGATGTAGAGAAAGGATAGAACCGAGAAGTTCACGTGAATAAATAAAGTCAAGGTGGGGCAGTGAGAGGCGGTGGCGACTGTGAATGCAAGAGTGAGTGTGAAGGGTGACAGAGGCGCTGTAACTGTTGCAGTGAGCGTGAAGGGTGACAGAGGCGCTGTAACTGTTGCAGTGAGTGTGAAGGGTGACAGAGGCACTGTAACTGTGACAGTGAGTGTGAAGGGTGACAGAGGTGCTGTAACTGTTGCATTGAGTGTGAATTGTGACAGAGGCGCTGTAACTGTTGCAGTGAGTGTGAAGGGTGACAGAGGCGCTGTAACTGTTGCAGTGAGTGTGAAGGGTGACAGAGGCGCTGTAACTGTTGCATTGAGTGTGAATTGTGACAGAGGCGCTGTAACTGTTGCAGTGAGTGTGAAGGGTGACAGAGGCGCTGTAACTGTTGCAGTGAGTGTGAAGGGTGACAGAGGCGCTGTAACTGTGATGGTGAGTGTGAAGGGTGACAGAGGCACTGTAACTGTTGCAGTGAGTGTGAAGGGTGACAGAGGCGCTGTAACTGTTGCATTGAGTGTGAATTGTGACAGAGGCGCTGTAACTGTTGCAGTGAGCGTGAAGGGTGACAGAGGCACTGTAACTGTTGCAGTGAGCGTGAAGGGTGACAGAGGCACTGTAACTGTTGCAGTGAGTGTGAAGGGTGACAGAGGCGCTGTAACTGTTGCAGTGAGTGTGAAGGGTGACAGAAGCACTTTAACTGTGACAGTGAGCGTGAAGGGTGACAGAGGTGCTGTAACTGTTGCAGTGAGTGTGAAGGGTGACAGAGATGCTGTAACTGTTGCAGTGAGTGTGAAGGGTGACAGAGGTGCTGTAACTGTTGCAGTGAGTGTGAAGGGTGACAGAGGCGCTGTAACTGTTGCAGTGAGTGTGAAGGGTGACAGAAGCGCTTTAACTGTGACAGTGAGTGTGAAGGGTGACAGAGGCGCTGTAACTGTGACAGTGAGTGTGAAGGGTGACAGAAGCGCTTTAACTGTGACAGTGAGCGTGAAGGGTGACAGAGGTGCTGTAACTGTGACAGTGAGTGTGAAGGGTGACAGAGGCGCTGTAACTGTTGCAGTGAGTGTGAAGGGTGACAGAGGCGCTGTAACTGTTGCAGTGAGTGTGAAGGGTGACAGAGGCGCTGTAACTGTTGCAGTGAGTGTGAAGGGTGACAGAAGCGCTTTAACTGTGACAGTGAGTGTGAAGGGTGACAGAGGCGCTGTAACTGTGACAGTGAGTGTGAAGGGTGACAGAAGCGCTTTAACTGTGACAGTGAGCGTGAAGGGTGACAGAGGTGCTGTAACTGTGACAGTGAGTGTGAAGGGTGACAGAGGCGCTGTAACTGTTGCAGTGAGTGTGAAGGGTGACAGAGGTGCTGTAACTGTTGCAGTGAGTGTGAAGGGTGACAGAGGCGCTGTAACTGTTATAATTAGTGTGAACTGTTTACAGAGGCACTCTCTGATCTGGTCCATTGTTGGATTGAGGAACTGTGCACCCAGAGTTGCCAGATGATCTGATGTTCCAAGAGCAGACATAAATCCAGGTTATAAGGAAATTATTCTGGGTTTCAAAAGCATAGTGCCCACTTGGGAGCTAAGTCTAACCTGTGTTGTCTTGTCTATGACTATGATAGAAACACTCTTTAAAAATCAGATAACTCAGCAGCCAAAAAAAATGTCATGACCTGTAGTGAGACCAGCCTCATGTAGAGTTGGTGGGCAACTCCTCATGAACAAGATGCATAAGACCACATCCTGTATGATGCTATATAGCCACGTCCTCTAATTATGAAGTAGGCCTTTCTGATGAGCACCCAGCATCCTGAAGTCATCTATGAATCCATCTTGAGTCACTCCATTATCATAAAAAACACTCCAGTTACTTAAGAAATTCCAGGGACCATGTTTGAAGCTCTGTTCCAAGAACTGGGCACAAAGATCAGATATATACTTTATTATAATACTCTATGAGGTGGAGAAATAATGTCACTAAATGGGGACAGGGCTCGGGGGAATTGGGGCTTTCACAACTGGACACACAAGTGAAAACAGACATGGCATTTGACTGAGTTCAGCGGCTCTGGAGAATCGGTATTTAGTCAGTGGTTAAAGGG